TCTATCTATCTATCTATCTATCTATCTATCTATCTATCTATCTATCTGTGTTCTCCTGACCAGCTTCACATCTCATGTGAATCCAGCCACTTGGGCGTGGAGGGGGAATGAAGGCTGGCAGGCAAAGCCATGTGTTGGAGATCAACGCAAAATAAGGCAACTCCAACCCAGATCCTGTTGGGAAGACACGCCCCCTTCCTTCTCCCTATCTCCCCTCTCTCGGAGGTGGCCAGCAAGCAAACAAATGTGGCACACTGGCTGGGAGGTGGAAGCGCGGAGCCCCACCTCTGGCCAGTGATAGTGAAGCAGGCAGGGTGTGCACCTTCCCTGCTGCTGCCATCACGCTGGCGCTGGCCAACCTCTATATGAAGGCTCCGCCAGGGGACTCTTGTGGCCACTGTGTCTTGTAGGGAGCCCTGGTGGGGTCTCCTCACTCAGCCCCAAGAAGGCTCTGGCTGCCGGCATCACCGTGTTCCCTGCCAGCTGGCAAGGCAGCAGCAGACCGCTTCCTGGGTGGGCAGAGGCCAGCAGGTGGACACCTGCCTTCACCTGCTCCGGGAGGTACGGCAGGCACCCCGCCATCCAGCTCAGCCATCTGGATGGAAGCGGGCTCCATGGCAGGTGGGACAGAGCTGGGAGGGACATGCAAACCGAACATTTAGAGTTGCACTTGGCAGAGTTTGCAAGCAGGCTCGGTGGGGCCACTTAGTGGGGAGACCTCGGCCCGTTTAGTTCGCTTGAGCACAGGTTGGGAATGCAGAAGGAAATACATGCCTCTTGATGTTCAACCCTCAAAGACTCCTTTGTATCCCAGAATTGTGCTCTCTCTCCCCCCGCTTTCTTTCTCTCCTCCCTCCCTCCCTCCCTCCTCTCTCTTTCTTCCACCTTCCTTTCTCTCTCTCTCTCTCTCTCTCTCTCTCTCTCTCTCTCTCTCTGATTCTGATTATTCTGGTGCTTCATCTCTTGGGTGCTTCTTCAGGCCATTATTGGTGATGCACATACCTCGGTCGCTCTGGGAAACGTATGAACTGCTCTCTGTCCCTTACTTTCTCAGGCCAGGTGAGGAGTGACAGGGAGGGGAGGGCAAAGGGCAGGGCCAGTCAGTGGTGGGATCACCTGACAGGGAGCCCAGCAGAGGGACAAAAGAGCCCCATGCAGCTCGGGAGCTGCGGGTTGCCGATACCCATACTAGGGGATGGAACACGGTGTTCTGAATCATACTTAAGAATACCTACACAAATAGAGAAAATCTCTACTTCATAAAAGTAAAATGCAAAATGCAGCATACATTTCCCCCCCACTCACTCTATATTTTTCTTTTACCCCTTTCTTTAGAATACCTCTTAGTACTTCATTCTAATCTGGCAGGAGGAAAACATTAACTCCTGGAAAAAGTCAGGGCCATTTTCAAAATACAAATGGGCAATGAAGATAAAGATATGTAGGAAAGGGAAGGTGGTGTTAAATTGCTAAAAAAGCTATGTGGGCTGCAGGGTACTTATAGGTAATATAAACAGTAGATATCTGTATTCTTGTCTTATTTCCTGTGTT